AGTTATTAGTCCATTATTATTTAATATTTATACTTCGGATATAGGCTCCGCTCTCACAAATAACTGTGAAATTATTCAATACGCAGATGATATCTGCATCTATCGTGTGCACGAAAATATCAATGAGGGTTCACTTGATATAAATGCTTGTTTGGACTCTGTTGGCAACTGGTTATTGGACCACGGCTTTGACGTAGCTCCAATAAAGAGTCAAGTAGTATTATTTTCAAGAAAGCGTTCTCCCCCTAATATAAGCATCGTATATCAAGGATATAGTATTCCACTAGTAACAGAGGCAAAATTTCTGGGTCTAATACTAGACGCCAAGCTTACGGGTTCGGCACACGTCGATAACACAGTAAAAAAATGTGAAAAAAACATCAATGTGCTACGCGCACTATCTGGTACATGGTGGGGTGCCCATCCCTATAGTCAAAAACTCCTTTATAATGCTCTAGTTCGCAGTATTATAGACTTCGGCTCAATTTTCCTGCAGACCTCAACTAAAAGTATTCTGTCTCGATTAGACTCAGTTCAGTTCAAAGCCTTAAGAATAGTGCTGGGTGCAATGAAATCCTCCCCAACTCGAGCCCTACAGGTCGAAAGTGCAGAGCCGCCCTTAAGCCTGAGACGACAGTATCTTTCAGATCGATATACTCTCCGTTTAGCTCAAATACACCCTAATGCTATTATATCAAAATTATCTGCTCTTCAAAATTGTATGACTTCAAACTTCTGGAATAGTAGGGAACAGCCCTGTCTCATTAAAAGTGTAAATTATATTGATAGCTTCCAATCTCCCTTAATTCAATCCGACACCCTCCCTATTTTCAAAATATCATTTAAGGCCCTCTGCCATTCCCCCACAGTTTATCTAAACATAGGTTTAGAAAAAAATACAAAAAACGCTGTATTGGAGTGTTGTAGGTGAAATAAAAGATAACTGTTCAAGTCGACAATTCGTGTAATACTGTCGTAATTTAGTGTGTGCAGTTACAAATATAAGGTTAGGCGAGCTGCACACTACACCTCCTCTCTTTTAAAAAAAAATGATATTATTACATAACTACTTTTTTTTTTTTACTTAAACTAAATTACGCAAAATATTATTAAATTTCATACTTTACTAACAAAAATCCAATAAAACAATATTTTAAGTTACAAACTTCTTTGTCAGTAATACTTGTCACGTCTTTAATAACAAGTAACTTGGGAAAATCTTTCAAATAGCTCATTTCCTTTACAAAATTGTTTACAAGTCGTTCATAGCGCTTACTTTTAATTATTACGAGCACGTTTATTTTGATTTGCTTGCAAAAACGTTATAATTCTCTCATTAACACACTTACGGTAGACAACGATTGAGAAATTATAAAAATTGCTGATTTGTCAGCCACGAATTTGCAATTACCATTATCACTAGTAAAATGTTTGAATTTTTCTATCTGTTTTAATGTATTTTTATTACAAAATAGAATCAATTCAACGCCGTCAATTGGTCGTTTGAGGATTTCCACTACTTTAGGTTGATCAGGCCTTGGAGTAGAGGATACCTCCGTAGTCATATTATTGTTGTCACAGTCAATACGTAACCTACGAGCTTGTACTCTTGTCATGAACGATACTACATGCTGTTGCATTTCCTTTAAGCTGTTG